GCGATACGATTGCAAGTAAAGGAGTTGAGCCTCTTTGACGAAAGAGCAATCAAAAACATCAGAAAGGCGTATACAGGTACGCAGACTGCGGTGGTAAGCCTTCCAGCATTGGATGCAAGACGACTGCTGGATGCCCAGAGGATCAAGATCGGATGGGTGGTTTGCCGAATAAGGGAAAAGCCGAACCTAAAGAAGTGTTTCAGGTGCTTGGAATTCGGGCACATGGCTAAAGCGTGCACCAGCGTGGATGACAAGAGTCAAAGTTGCATCAAATGCGGCGAAAAGGGTCACTTCCCAATGGCATGCAACAAAAAACCATTCTGTGGAGCATGCAAAAGCAATGGGAAGGAGGATACGGGCCACCAAATTGGCAGTAAGAAGTGTCTTCTTTATCAAGCAGCGTGCAAAAGGTTGAAATAAGAGTTGTACAGATCAACATAAATCATAGTGAAGCAGCACAGCAGCTACTGATGCATACAGTATACGAGGAGAAGATAGATGTGGCGATAATTTGCGAGCAGTACAAAAACCTAGACGTCGGAAACTGGGTCTCTGATCATGGGAACAAAGCTGCCATATGGGCGTGTGGGGGCAACTCTCTCCAAGACAAACCGCTCCTTGGGAAAAGCTACTATACTCGGGCGAAGATCCGTGGAATCAATTTCTACAGTTGCTATATTCCGCAGAGTGTGGCACAAGTAGACTATGAAAGGATCCTGGATAATCTAGAATAAGAAGCCCGAACTACAACGCCAAACGTGTTAGCAGGTGACTTCAATGCGTGGGCCGAGGAATGGGGCAGCAGCTATACAAATAGGCGAGGTGATTCTTTGCTTAAGGCATTCTCCTTTCTAGACGCGGTGTTACTCAATACCGGCGGAAGGAATACGTTCGAGAAAAACGGTCGCGGATCAATAATTGACATAGCGTTCGCCAGCCGCGCACTGGTGGGTTCAGCAAGTTGGCGGGTGTGCGACTTTTACACACATAGCGACCACCTTGCTATTATGATGGAAATCGGCAAGCATGCGCAGATTAGAGGGAGCCTGCACAAAACACAGACGAAAGGGTGGAGGGTGGAAACACTAGATGTGGAAATCTTCAGACTCATGCTAGACGGGAACCCAGACAGCTCGGATGACGTGGACCAGCAAACCGGCATCCTGGCGAAATACGTAAGCAAAGCTTGCGATGCCGCCATGTGCAAGAAAAGACAAAATACTGCAAGAAAGCCCGCATACTGGTGGAATGAGGAGATTGACACACTAAGAAGCGAATATCATAAAGCAAGACGACTCTCCCAAAGAAGCCAGGGTACGGCAGAGCATACAAGACTACGAGAATGCTTCAAGAGAAAACGCAAGGAGTTTAAAAAAGCGATCAAAAGAAGCAAGTCAATAAGCTTGAAAGAACTTTGTGAAAAGGTGGACGAGAACCCGTGGGGTGACGCGTACAAAATAGTCATGAAAAAGGTCAGAGGTGGTAGAGGTCAAGCACCAACCTGCCCTGTCCTCCTAGAGAAGTTGGTAAAAACGCTTTTCCCAGAGCAAGAACAGCAACCAAGTATGGTGACACCCGCTGTAGTGGAAGCAGTTCAAAACAACGAAGCGGAGGTAATCATGGCGGCGGAGAGGTTCGGTATCGCAAAGGCGCCTGGACTTGATGGTATCCCGAACAAGGCGCTTAAGATCGCTATTAAACATAACTCGAAGATTTTCGCTGAGCTTTATACGCAGTGCATGAATGAAGGAGTATTTCCGAAAGTATGGAAGAAGCAGCACCTGGTCCTACTTTAGAAGCCGAATAAACCGGCGGGTGAGCCGAATGCGTACCGGCCACTTTGCATGATCGACACGATGGCCAAAATACTGGAGAGGTTGATTTGCACACGTCTGGAACATCACCTAGAAGGTGAGCCGCCTGGCTTGTCTGAAAATCAATTTGGCTTTAGGAAACATCGTTCCACCATAGACGCTATTGGAAAATTGACGGGCACTGCGGGCAAGGCCATAGAGGGCGCCAGATGGATGTATGGCGATAAGAAATATTGTGCAGTTCTCACATTTGATGTACAAAATGCTTTCAACTCTGCATACTGGCCACACATTATGAAAGCATTGGAGGCGAAGAAAACACCGGCCTATCTACTGCGCATAATAAATAGCTACCTGTCTGATAGACTGCTATTGTACGACACGGACGAAGGTCCCAAACACTACGTTGTGACGGGCGGAGTGCCACAAAGCTCTGTATTAGGCCCATTGTTATAGAATGTGCTGTTCGATGGGGTATTACACCTCCCACTACCAAAGGAGGCCCAGATAATTGGGTATGCGGACGACATTGCCGTGATAATCGTTGCGAAAGAACTTTCCCAGATTCAGAGTATCTGCAATGAGACAGCATCGAAGATCAAGGAGTGGCTGACGATGACAAAGCTCCAGCTTGCGGGCAGAAAACGGAGGCGGTGCTTATTACGAGCAGAAAAAAGTTAGAAACAATCACCCTGAACATTGATGGCTACAATGTCGAAACGCAATCGTCGCTGAGGTACCTTGGTGTGATGATTGATGCGAGACTCAATTTCAAGACGCATATAGAAAAAGCCTGTGGCAAGGCGGCTGATGTGACAGCGGCTTTAGCCAGAATCATGGCAAACATTGGTGGCCCTAGTCAAAGTAGGAGAGCGCTCCTGGCTAAAGTAAGCCAGTCAGTACTGATGTACGCGGCGCCTATATGGGGAACAGCCCTGCGTCAAAAAACATATGCCAAGAAGGTGAAATCAGTTTTTAGGCTAAGCGCTTTCAGAACAGTGTCGCATGAAGCGGTTGGTATTATATATACTTTTACCTGACGCAGTTCCTCACAGGACATGGCTGTTGCAGGGAGTACCTCCTCAGATTTGGTCACGACGATCCGACAGAATGCTCCTTCTGCAACAGTGTCGGTGAAAACGTAGAGCATATCTTTTTCTCCAGATCGAGATATGTAGCTGAGAGAACAACCATAGAGAGGCTAATAGAGGAAAGGATGACACCCGATAACATGCTGAAATCGAAACAGGTGTGGGCTAAGATGAAGGAATGGTCCGCAGTAGCGCTTCAGGAGTTAAGAAAGAAAGAGTGGCAGCGGAGATGTGCAGATGCGCAAGTGATGAACAACTCTGTAAGGAGTGCGTGAAAAGCCTTCCTGGCTTAACGGCGGTCCCGCAGGGCCAAATACAAGCTACAGAAGTCGGAGTTAAGGGTTTAGTACGTAGGCGTACTGTCTGTGCGCGGTCCCGAATGAGGTGTAACTTTAGCGAGCAGTATGAATCGTGCATGCCATCCATGGTTGGCGGTATCTATGTAAGATTCCCCCTTCGAAACAAAAAAAAAATATTAAAAATCATTGCATATTTTGTTCTAGTGAGATACTGGTAATCTATATAGCCATGAAAGTTTTACACAACATAGAAGAAGAGGTAGCGGTCGTTTCCGCATACTTAACTCGATCTTTGTTTCTTTTTTATTATGACACTATTGAAGTAAATGAGCTATATGTACATAAATACGTACATATGTATGCATACGAATGGTTTTTTTAATATGTACGTACATACATAAACAATATACAATTATTTATTTGTAGGCAACTACAATATACAAATATGCATATATATGTATGTACATGTAAACATATTAAAGTCCAGCGCAAGTGTATTTGCCGCATTTCTGTCAATAAGTACTCCTTGCATTGTACTCTACTCCCAACACATTGTTACTCTTTTTCCGCATTTATACACTACTTGGCGTTGAGAGAGTAAATACTTGACGTACTTGCTATTACTCCACCAAAGTAGGTACCATGATACAAAAAAGAAGGTAGTTTCTTTACTACTATTTTTTGATTATAAAGCAGATTTTTGACATTTTTCTAAATGTAAACATTAAGTATAGCTTTGCCACATTGGAATTTTTTGAGAAGCGAGATTTTTGTTTTAATATTTGGGATTAATTACAAGAGTAAAAAAAGGCAAGTTGATGTGATCGATAATCAAATTTGAACGTTTTTCTCAAGCATAAAAATTATCTTTGAAGAATATCGATCTGCAGAGATAAGGAAATAAAATAATATCGAGTTTTTATACAATTATTTATTTTAAACCAAATAACCAAATTTACATATGTAACATGTAACAAAATATTACTCTATGTTGTAGTTTTCTTAATTTCTTTGCTGAAGCTTTGCATCTGTCCCCTTGTTGATATATGTATTTCGTGCTTTTGCACTCAGGAAATAAACAGCTCAATTTTTAGTTTCTTTCCTAAGTCACTAAGATTAAACAAAGTTTTTTAAGAAGAAAAATAAAATCCTTACTTTTTTATTTTGAGATCAAAAAATATTTAGAGGTCGCTCAAAGCACTCAAAAGTTTATTTAGGAAAAAAACCAACTTTTCGTAGAAATGGTATAGGATTCTTGAAAATCAATATTTTTCGATCAGGAAACTATTTCTCTTCAGGAGATTTACAATAATAATAACCAATTGTGTATTTAACCATTTTTTATAATAACTATATTTTATAGGTCTGCCGAAGGCCCCAGAAAATGTAATGGGGGGACAAATAAAAAATCCTTACTATTAAAAAATGGTTGAATAAACAATTGGGTATTATTATTGTAGGTCTCCTGAAGAGAACCAGAGTTTTCCGATCGAAAAATATTGGTTTTCAAGAATTCTATACCATTTCATCTAAAAGTTGTTTTTTCCATATAAAATATATAGAAAACTTTGCCGCTTGGAGCGACCTCTAAATATTTTTTGATTTGAAATTTAAAAAAATAGGTGTAAGTTTTATATACAAAATAAACTCTTAGCAACAATTTTCGGATCGCCATCGCAACTTTCGGACGTGTGCTATGAATGTCGACACGTTACAATGATGAAAATTGTTGCTAATGGGTTACAGAATGTTATGCATTAATGATTTGCCAAATTGTTTTAAATTCGCTAACTCTTTTATGTTCGCATATGACGTTTAACTCTTTTCTGTTGTACGTAGTCTTTCATTTTGTCAAAATCTTCAACTGGATCGGAATGCATTTGCGTATATCTTAATAAAAATATATGAGAGACAGTCTAGTAATAGCATCGTCCTTAACTATAATAGAGACAATTCTATGATATCACGAAGCTCCGAAAATAAAGACTTACTTGGGCTACCGTTTGCAAAGCACATCAAAATTATTTTGGTTGATTGGCTGTATAATAAATAAATTTAATAATAAATAATTTTTGCGGTGGGCAACATATTTACCGGTCTTTAATTTCACAGACGACATAGGTCGCTTGTTTTGCAAATATTAAGATGTGTAAAATTCAATTTTCTTTGTTGCTCAAATCGAAGAAAAGTTTTCTTTAAATTTTGTAAATTATATTTTTTTTTTACAAAAGAAATGATTTTTGAGGATTAGGTATGGTAGCATGAAATGTCACAATCTGCTTAATTGTCATGTAGTTAATATGGCGCCCGAAAAGTGACAATGAAACTACCTTATTTTTTGTATCATGGTAGGTACTCTACTTTCTCTCATCGCGTACGAGAGATATTTGTTGCTGCCAAAAGGGAGTAGCAAATCTACTCTCTGTATACTTGTAGTACTGTAAGTACTTGGGTATTAAATTTCAATTCTGGTTGTTAGCCTACTAGTTCGTATTGGCGGCGCTGGGCAGTGAAATTGAAAGAGTAAAAAAAGAATATGGAAATTGACGATGTAAGGAAATGTTTACGGCCTTATTTAAAAAAAATAACCAACAAATAAGTTGTCAAAAACAACAACTTAAGCAATGCTGCTTTACGACATAAAATTATTAGTGGCAAATCAAAATTTTGAAAAGTGCCGATTTTTACATTCGATAGTTGGACATGGTAGCGACGAGATATACGAGCATTTTTTTCTTAAGAGCTGCATACTGATTTAAGAATTTTTTTATAGAAGCAAATTTATTTTACATTTATTGTGCGTAATTTTATATGAATTTTTAGTTTTTCTTGAGAGCCTTTACAAATAAAAAAATTTCTGAATATGTACATACGTATGTACATACATACGCAGCCATATAACTTGATTTCAAGAGAAACGAATTTTCATTGGGCACATTCAGAAGGCGCAACAGCTCAGTAACTGGTGCGATTGCACCTTCTAAACGCGTTGTTGCGTACTTCTGATCAACTGAATAGTTGCGTGTTAGATGATTGTAATATTTTTCTGATCATTTGAGACATGTTGGTGTGTACCTTTGAGAGTTGAATTTGACAGCTAATGGATCACGCATAACGATCACTGATTTTTTTAGCAACGGTTGCGCTCAACTGCTGCGACTTCTGAACCCACCCATTGATACCTTTTTTTTTGATATTGAGTAAAACCAAATGCAAGAGATAGTTTTTGAATTTCATTGAGTTTTTTTTAATAAATACTAAAATTAGAGGTGTATGAATGGCGAAAGAAAAACTTTATCCGATTTTTTTAAATCGAAACTACATTTTTACATATGTACATTAAAGTGGTCCAAAAATGTATGTAAAAAAATATATACCGAAAAAAATATACCCATATTTTTTTATTTTGAAATAAAAAATAATTTAGGTAGTGCTAGAAGCGCTCAAAATTTTCCATGTATTTTATATGGAGAAAAAACAACTTTTCGTAGAAATAGTGTAGAATTCTTGAAAACCAATATTTTTCGATCGGAAAACTTTATTTATCTTCAGGAGATAATAATACTCAATTGTTTCTTTAACAATTTTTTCATGGTAACTATATTTTATAGGTCCTCCAAAGCCCTTAGAAAATGCAATGGGGGGACCAATAAAAATCTTTAATCATAAAAAAAATGGTTAAATAAACGATTTGATATTAATACTGGAAGTCTCCTGAAGAGAATCACAGTTTTCCGGTCGAAAAATACTGATTTTCAAGGGATTTATACCATTTCTACTAAAAATTGTTTTTTCCCCATATAAAATACATGGAAAACTTTGAGCGCTTTGAGCACTCCCTAAATATTTTTTGATTTAAAAATGAAAAAATAGGGGTATATTTTTTTCGATATAGATCAATCCTAGTGTGTGCTGGCATTAAAACTCCGACTTTATTTTTTTGGACCACTCTAATGTACATGCATACATAAACATATCTAATATGAAATTGAAATTTCACATCAATTTGCGCTATCTTCAAACCCATGGTTTCAATTGTACGCATATCGTCAGGGTTTTCCCCACAACTTGGTTTTGCTGCAGTGAAACGATAGAGCAAGTGAAGAGAAAAAATATATGCGGATTCTTATATATGTATGTATCTATGCACATACACTATTGAGAGAAATAGGGGTTGCGCCCATCACGGTACCGCTATTCATCTCTGAGTGAATTTGACTGAATCGTTGTTTGTATCACGTCACACTTGTGCAACTTGTTTACCTTTTTCCTGCAACATTTTTTCTTCTTCTTCCGTTCTTGCTCACGTTTTGGCATTTTTCTCTCGCAATTGCACCAGTGTGACGTTACACAAAAGTTATTCTCAAAAGTCCTCTCCGATGGGCGCAATCTTGTATTCTATCATTCTTGATGCACATATGCAGGCATGGGCAGAGAACGAGCACACGCTCAAAGAGCGTAATCAGCGTGTGTACGTATACAAGCAAGAGCGTAACGATGGGAACGCGACAGCATGCAAAATGAATTAGGCACACTAACACATTCTCACTTTTAGCTAACGCTTGTTTGTGGTAGTGCCCACCTCTGCACATATGTATCTATGCCAGTGGTTCACAGCGTTGGCAGAGCTCCCAATACAAGCGCAATATTTTTGTATCTGTATGTGTGTACTCAGTAAAATAGCTCGCGCAACCGATGCTTACAGCATGAAGTACAAACGCAAACTGACCGGCTGCTAGCGGCGCATAAGTTCTGTAGCTGCGCACCAGTGTTGCCACTTTAGCCGTTTTCCGGCTAGATTTAGCCGGTTGCGATAGCAAACAGCCGGAGAAATTTCGATTTAGCCGGCAGCCGATTTGTTAGCCGTTTTGCAGAAAAAATTAGTTTTTAGCCGATTTTGCCTTGTTTTCTTAAATTTCAAATATGTATATTTTTTTTATTTATTGTTTTTGATTAAGCGACCCAAAATCTGTTAGAAATGGCTACTAGCCTTATAGTGGAGAAAATTTTCATGTCAGGCAATTTGGCCGATTTCGCTTATTCTTGTTTTAAACGAAGAAGGGATTTTCTTCATAAAATGTTTGTTATAATTGTCTTAATTTTAAGTGTGAAGTTTTATTCGCAAACTTAGAAAATAAAAAATTGTTTTTAATATTTTTATTGAGCTTTGTACCACGATTGTTTATTAGGAAAAATTGAAATAGCAACAAAGTCTAAGCGGTAGAAGTTATAGCACTATTTCGGAGATCACCACATAAAAATTGTTTCACTGTTACGACACTTAAGATGCGTTTGTGTTTGGATATAATGCCAACAAACAGAATAAATATTACATGTAGATATTGTCTTCCCAGATAGCGCATATTCAATTCTGCCTAAATTACAAAACATAATTTTTGCCCACTCCCAAAGGTTTAAGGTAAGGGAAAATTTGATATTTTCAAGCACATATGTATTTTTTTAAATATCTTTTTAAACAAACTTTTTTGCTGAGAACTTATTTAAATTCCAAAAACCGAATGCCAACTTGAATTGAAGGAACCAACACTGAAGTGAGTCAAAATGAAAATAAAGGAGCACAAATTTCTATATAAAGCAAAACTCTATGGGAATCCTAGGAGACATCTGCCGGTCATATGACCGGTCATCTAAATGGGAGATCTGCAGTCTTTTGGCATCATATTTTACATCAGAATTGAAGGGATTTCTGAAAAATCTGACCAGTTCTTTTGTGTAAATGTGATTTTGCATCCCTTGTCAACATATGGCCTCGGTTGATGTTAACTTAAGGTCGTTGTTTTACTGCCTTAAAATTGAAGGGAAATTTTTACAGCGTTTCTTATGTGTATTGGTTTCTATTTTAGTGTATTGAGAATCGTTCAGTGTGAAAAGGCCTTGTAGGGAAGACAATAGGTTTGTTCGTCGAAAATCCAGCGAGAGTTATCACTCAAAATATTGTCCACGGTTGCATTTCAAACAAAAGAAATTTGTATAGAATTTATAAAATTCTTTCAGAGGGGGGGGGGGCAAAAACAGGATCTACGTGTATATATCTTGTCAGTCCGACTTTCTTCAACATACGTTTCAATTTCTTTGTCTGGTTTACTATATCGACTCTGGTTGAGATTGCTTTCCGATTAAGAATACAGTTTTTTTTGCCAAGTACCTTTCAAATCATTGGAATTAACTAAATTAATTAAGTAAACAAGTATTAACTTACATTTTTCATTTTAAAATCGATCCAGTTTGTAAATTTTTAAATTTAACGAAGTTGTTTATTCAAATTATCGTCGACAAAAAATCCAACCATGAGCCACAATCATATGTTTTTCCTAATTGCAAATTCTTCCTGGCAAAATTTTTTCGGGCTCGAATTTGTAACTTCTCTTCAAGAAATAGTCCTTTTACCCGTGATTTATTTAAATAAAACATGTGAAATTTAGTTGAAACATTTCAGCCGTTTTTAGCCGGTTTTATATGCCAATTTAGCCGGTTCGTCCAAAAAGTTCTGGCAACACTGCTGCGCACACACGACTTGCATGCAGCGTTGCCAGGTTGACGTTTTTAACGTCATTTGGACGTTTTTTGTATCCTGTTGACGTTTGGACGTTTTTTGTGTTAAAAATTAGGTTTTTTAACTTCCCAGTAATTTTTCTCTGTTACTAAATCTTGTAAGTAGAACTGATTTTGAATTATTTTCTTAATAAATCTTTACAAGCTTTGTGCTTCAAAAGATATTTATTCTTTGGACACAGATGACTTAAATATGATGGAAACCAAGCGTACGCGCATTTCTTTTGGATTCTCGGACTAAGGATCCCGTGTTCAAAGGCTGGTTGTGTAAACACTTGAGGTTACGAGGCTTATTGTAATGTTTGCTATTGCACATTAAAAGCCAAATCAGGAAGAGCCGATCTATTGCAACACGCACGCTGTAAAGAATAGTATTTTAAAATTTTATTATAACCGCATGTGTGAGCGGAGTAAATTGTATTGATTTTTATTTTGTCCGAATTCTTCCTTAAATACTATTTTACAATATGTTTTACTTATCATAATCATTGCTTAAATCTATGCTTGTTGTTAGTGAGTGTGTATATGTGTGTTTGCGGCAGAGGCCGGGCGTAAGCATATGTAAAGCAAAGCAGTGTTTGTTTAAATATGCATTCCGTCTTGTCAGCAATTATACACATGTCGGTGTTGCGTATAGTGGTAATGAACTGAAGTGACAAAGAATGTCATCAAGGTCTTTTGATAATGATATTTGATATTTATTTGTGCGAGTTGAATTGTGAAATGATTTGGGTTAGTTTGCTTCGACTTGTTTGTTCTTTAAAAGTCGCACTGCATACTACACACTACAACGCTCACAAAAGCATAAAAAAAGCTGAGCAGCATAAAAAGTCGGAAAAAAAGAGGGCGACTTTTTTAGGACTTCATTGAAAATGTAATGAACGCAAAAAAGGCTAAAAAAATTGCTATGCTCCTTCTTAGCAGAACGTAATTTAGCATTTTCGGCAACCAACCCCCGAAAAAAAATTATTAAAAATCAACGCGATTATTTAGCGCCTTTGAACTTGCACATTATTGCCCTGAAATTTAATGGGCTATCACTGCATACCAAAAAAAAAATCTACAAAATCTGAATAAAAAGTTGAGAATCTAGCTGAAACTTTGCCGATTTTTTATAATTTTTGCACAACGTTTGAAATGTGGATTTATATTTTATATAGATATATAATGAGCTTGGTTTTTATGGAAAAATAATGAACAAAAGAGAAACAACCAAAATCGATCAAAATGTTGATGACTTAATCAGCAGATCACAAGTGTATGTATAAAACGATTTTTATATTAACGATCTCAAACCAGTTTACAATGAGTTTTAAATGTGCTTTGTCAAAATGACATTTTAATATACCTTACGTACATATGTACCTTTGTATACAATAAAAGTTTAATAAGAACAACTTTTTGTACATTCATTTGTAAAAGACGTTTTTGGGTAGGAAATGACGTTTTTTCAGACCAAGAGGGACGTTTTCTCATGCCGAAGACCTGGCAACACTGCTTGTATGGGAAAGCCGAGAAGCTCCCGGAGACTGCCGTGTGCACCGCTGATCTATGCACATACGTATCTATGCACATACATACATATGTACTTAGGTACGTATATCAGCATTTTAGTTGAAAGTACNATTCTTGCCACAAATGTATGTTTTCTTCGAAAATACTCAAGTACTACCAGTAGAGTACTCTACTGTCAAATACCTTTTACTCGCAGTAGTTGCGGAAAGCAAAGTAAATACTCTACGCGTCTTGCTATTGATCAGTAATTTACGTACGCTTGCAGAAACTGGTTTATGCTTACTCACACTTGACCCGAACGATGAGAGTAAAGGAGGGAAAGTACTTGCGCGGCGATCGGATGTCTTTTTAGGCCGTTTAAATGGAATTGCGCAGGAGTTTAATACATATATATATGTATATTTGTACTAACATCTTCCTCCGGAATACTTTCCACACATTGGCTACTCCCTTCCACATATTCTGTGCAAACAAGCTCAAAACTTTCTGATCTAAATCAGAAAGCGGAGCTGTTAACATTGGAGCATTTCATGTTGCCGCCGTTTGCTTCCTGCGCTCTCTTGCCTTGACGGAAGTCCGGCTTTTCAAATCGCGCCAAACCTAATACAAAAATTGCAATTATTGTGTCTTGCAGATATCATCTACTATAACTTACTACTTGCCACTGAGCTGCAGATTTTTCAGCCCCATTTGTGCTATTTAGCAACATTGCTAACTCTTCCCATTTCCGGGAAGCTTCTTGCCGGCCATGAATCGCGGAGAACTTGCCTTCCGCAAGGCCCTTATTGCCAAGGAAAAAGTCCAGAATCTTATGGTACTGCTCCGTAGTAGCTCTAGCACTTCTGTTTTTTTTTCATATTATATTCACAAACAATCCCGACAATAATAATGCGCGCAACAATAATCAAATTTTCTTTTAAATAACAAGTGACAAACGGCAATATTGCCATATTTACCTTTGCAATTAACGAAAATCGTCGTAAACTTCTTTACCGACATGCATAACGAATTCTGTCGTTAAGTATGTTTTAGAGAATAGCCTATTCGCTACTGCAAGCTACAAACGTCGTTCATTATCAATAACGAATATCGGTCGTTAGGAAAAATGGTGTGATATAAAGTCAATTGATAGTAATACCTTTTCAACAGGGAAATAAAAAAAATTTGGAAATAAAGTCATTGACGCTATTTCCTCATTCAAATGGAAATAGCGTCAACAATGCTTAAAGTATGTTGATTCATAGAAAAAAAATGTTATTCTTACAATAAACATTGCCCCGTTAGTGTTGTTTTATAATAGATGAAAAAGGTTATTGCCAAATCCTCAGTGTGGTGCTATTAATCCACACACAATCATGAACTACCACCAATTGATTTTATTAATAAATTTAAAATAACGACTATAGTAAAAACACGATGCGAAACGAAACGAAACGAAACGAAACGAAAAACGCAGCTGGAATACGGGAAATATTTGAAGAGTATAGAAATGATCCAGAACTTACAAAACATGTTTCGTTTCCACAAAAATAAAGCGAACATTATTAAATTGAAGAAAAAGTTCATGTCCAAATAAACCCGGAGGAATACTGAAAGAATTCGGTCTAAGCTGGAAAAGAAACCAACCTTTCTATAAGGAAACAATTATAGAAAAGGAATTTTTTTACACTGTATTCATGTCTCCGCCAGCAATTTGTGACGACATCATTTAAAAGCAGCTAAGGAGAACGACGACACTATTTACATTCCTACGACAGCTGGTTCTACGTACCGGAATGACTCGGGTTTTACCCGACCAAGGGCTGTTGTTTCGGCGATCTAACCCCGTTTAGGTCGGCGAAGTATCTCAGAAGTTGTTCGTCCATAGGGCTACATTTGCTACGCTTTCTTCTGCTCAGGGCTGGCATCAAGTCGAAACCCAGGGCCAGAAACCTACACCTGCTGTGTATGCCAGAGACGACTACACCACAACTCCACCTCAGTCAAGTGCAATGCTTGCGAGGGGTGGAGTCACCTCAGAGTCTGCTCACGATTACTAACACATCGGCAGTGGACCACGTCGATTGTGCCCCCCTGCTGCTCAAACAGAGCAGCTTCCACGGCTAACCCCAGTCCACCTGAGCAGCCCAACACAAACACCACAGCACAACAACATAACAACACAATAAACCACACGACAACCACGACAGACCACAGAACACAGACAACCATACCACCACCCACACGCCGCCGCCAACAACTCTTGGTTCCTCCTACAATCTGCACGGTATGTCAGACCAGGATATTCCGTAATGTGACCTCAGTCAAGTGCAACACCTGCCTTGGCTGGTGCCACTTTAGGGCATGTTCAGGTCTGCGCACCACGCGAGATTGGACGAGGAACTTCGAGGGCCCGTGTTGCACTGCGTGGTCGCAAACCTCAACTGCGACGCCACCCACCACCACAGGGCGGCAACAACCTCATCAGCGCACACAGCCAATGGCGTCACGTCTACACACATCTCTCACACCCCGCATTACCACACGTCTCCCGAACCACCGTCAAACGATCGTAGGGGAACTGACTTGGCCGAGCAGATAGACGATTCGACATTCTGCACAATGAACGACGGCGTACCGACCAGGATTATGGGCAGCTGCTGCAGCTCGCCAGACATAGAACAGTCAGAGCTGGTCTGATAAACAGCATATCATGACGACCTATGCTGACTTTGGCATCAGACCATCTGCCCATAGTCATCTCGATCGATAAACCAACCGACTTTGCTTCCGCGGAGCACCGGACCTATATCAACTTCACTAAAGCTGACTGGGAAGGCTTCGCGGAATTTACTGAAAACACCTTCGCTGCTCTCCCCACACCAACCGAAGTCCATTTTGGTGAACATAAGTTCCGCAGGGCTGTCACCGCTGCTGCAGCTCGCTTCGTACCGGCAGGATGTATTACAGACCCACACCCAAAATTCCCTGCCGAAGCGACTGTTCCGGCCGATAAGCGTGACATCCTTCGTCAGGCCGATCCCGGAGATCCCTGTATCAGGGATCTCAACGCGGAGATTCGGCAACTAGTGAACGTACATAAGCGAAAGAAGTGGGAAGAGCATCTGAAGACCTGTAACTTCACCTCTGGTGTGAGTAAGCTTTGGTCAACCGTGAGGTCACTGTACAATCCGACGAAGCACGACGACAGAGTCGAAATTTCTTTCGGCGACCATGCTTCGTCGGACCCTGAGCGATGCGCGAGCTATTTTAGCCGGCAGTTCATACTGCATCCTCCGGTGGACAAAGCCAAGCGTCAAGTGACCAGAAGGCTGCACAAACTGCCAGCAACTTGTGCCCCCCTTGCTTTCACTTGCGGTGAAGTTCAGGTGGCCATCGGGAAGGCGAAAGCCTCCAAAGCCATGGGTCCCGACGGAATATGCATGCTGATGCTGAAAATTTTGGGTCCTGCGGGAGTAGCGTACCTAAGTGAGGTCCTCAATTTGTCAATGGCCACTCTCATCATCCCAGACATCTGGAAGGTGGGGAGAGTGGTCCCACTGCTCAAGCCGGGGAAGCCCGCCAACATAGGAGATTCGTATCGACCGATAACACTCCTTCCGGTAGCGAAGACACTTGAGCCCCTGCAGCTCTAGTATTTCACGAACCACCTGGCCCCAGCGAAGCATCAGCAAGGGTCCCTGTGAGAGAACGATTCTAGTAGCGTTGGACCTGTCAAAGGCTTTTGACACTGTCAGCCATTCCACGCTACTAGAAGATATGAGGCTTCCTCTCTCCCACAGCGGCTCAAACGGTGGTCGGGAAATTATCTGTGTGGTCGACACTCGTCGGTAATGTTTAGGGACAAATCGAGCAAGCTTAGGAAAATCAAACAGGGGGTTCCACAGGGTGGTGTCCTTTCCCCGCTACTGTTCAACTACCATATGTCAAAGCTCCCTCAACAACCAGAGGGAATCTCGATTGTCTCTTACGCCGATCATTGCTCGATCATGGCGAGTGGGAATGGAATTGATGACTTCTGTTCGAAAGTAAACGGGTATATCTCCGATATTTCTCGCTTCTTCGCTGCAAAGTGTCTAGCCCTCTCCCCTACGAAATCCTCTGCGACCTTGTTCACCACCTGGACAAAGGAGGTCAGGCTACCGCTGGAAATTCACGTCGATAACACACCAATTCCGACGGTGAATAACCCCAAAATACTCGGAGTAACATTCGGCAGCCTGCTCTCCTTCTCTGCGCACGCAACCGCTATTGTCAACAAAGTACAGAGCCGCAACAAGGTCCTCAAGTCGCTAGCCGGCAGTACTTGGAGCAAAGACAAAGAAACATTGCTGGCAACATAGAAGGCAACAGGCCGTCCGGTTTTAAACTACGCAGCACCAGTATGGTCGCCGTGGACTAGTAGGACGCAGTGGATGAAGCTACAGACAGCACAGAACACCGCGCTCAGGACAGCGACTGTATGCCGCCTGATGTCTTCGGAACACCACCTCCATGACTAGACGAAAATGCTCCCAATCAAGGAGCACAACATAATGCTCTGCAAGCAGCTTCTGGTTGGGAGGCACAGACGCGGCCACCCAAACAGACAGCTGCTTGCAGAGGAGCCCTCGCCTAGGCACGTAAGGAGACATCTATACGAACTGACGGACGAAGTCCAGAGGTTCATTAAGCAGCCTCTGGACCCGTCAGCATACCGACAGGCCCTGAACGGCATTGACAGGGACTCAGAGTCGTGTTATGTAGACTTTAGACCTGTGAATGCCGTTCTAGGCACACAATCACCGGACATTGACGTGACGGAGCTTCATCTGCCTCGGGAGACAAGAACCATTATAGCCCAACTTCACTCTGGCTACTGCAGCAGGTTAAACTCATACCTGAGCAGATTAAATGCGGATGTGCCAAATGAGTGTCCGGCATGCGGAGAGACCCCTCACGACTCGAAACATCTCTTCGCATGCCCGGAAAACCCGACAACCCTAACGGATTTGTCCCTGTGGACCGACCCTGTAGAGGCTGCACGCTTCTTAGAGCTGCCGTTAGTGGAACTTGGCGACAACGACTGAGATATCAACCGATCTGGGCGGGGTTGTTGTAGCCGCTATAACAACAACAACGACACTATTTACTAGATGGCACATTCAAGCCAATGTGCCAAAATGCGGGTATAAACAATTATTGATTATTTAATACCGGAACCGATATCATGTAAGTTAATTGATTGGTTTTTGGTTTTTACACACTTTTGAAACACAAATTATATGCGTTTTTACTGCAACCAATTTGTTCCAATAACTTACAAATATGAAAATGTGAAATATCGAGGGCTTAAATTCTTAATACCCTCTATCTGCAATTTGAACAAAAAATAATTTGCGATTTTAGAAACCATCTGGGACTTATTACCTGTCATCACTGATATATTACTTCTGTCAAGCGTTATATAAGGTAGCATGAATATCACCGATGACAGTTTAATCTTAGGTGGATTTTTATATCAGAATCTCATCTTTGTGAAAAGTGTGCAGATAAAGGGTATTATTGAATGTAAGCCTTTGATATGTAAAATATATAAAAATTGTATTTCAACGTATACAAACAATAAATCTACCTGCGTTACAGCATGGCGGGAGAGGGGGGGGCGTGCGTAGCGTGACGTGGTGTGGCGCGCGGACGATGGCCGCCGCGAAGCTAAGCAACTTTGGCAATGTCAATTGACTTTATTTCGCACCAGGGTGGGAAATAAAATCAATTGACCTTATTTCCGTTGATCTTGTTACCTGTCACCGGCTGAGATATATGCAATCCATATGGCGGCAAGGTTGGTGGGCATGATTGACTTAGCTCCATCTAAACTTGCCTTCGTTCTTGACAGTCAGGTGGCTATCAAAGCCTTAGGGTCGGCAACGTCTAACTCGATATGCGGTAAAGAATGCCAAAGATCCCTAGAAGCTCTACAGCAACACATAATCAAGCGGCCCAAATCGTGAAACCTCCCCTACGATTTCTGTCTTCAGAAGTCAAAAGACTGGCTAGGGCAGCCACTAACAGTAGGTGGGAAAATTTTCACACTTGCAGGGTATCGCGATCGCTCTGGCGACGGCTCGATGAACGAAGAATAAGGAGTCTATTAAGGCTTTCAAAGTCAAACGTTAGGCTTCCCACAGGAATATTAACAGGACACTGGACCTTTGTTACATGGCAGCCAGGTTCGGAGCCCCGCATAACGATTTCTGTAGAAGCTGCAGGGATGAAAAGGAGTTAGAATCCGTCCATCACTTCATTTGCGAGTGTCCAGCACTTCGAGGAAAACACCTCATGTTTCTTGGGGACAACTTCTTCGAGAACCTGGATATCTTGGGGAAAGCTCCTCTGGAAGGACTGCTGGGATTCGCCAGAAAATCAAAATGATTCGAAGACATGTAGGGATAGGCTTGTGGTAACCCCCCATGGGCATCACAATGGGCATTCGCGGCCTCCGAGTGAACTCTTTGCAGAGCTGCCCGTTTAACCTCACCTAACCTAAAGGCAGCTTTACACGGACGAAAATGCGGAAGACAATAAAAAAAATAAAAATAAATAATCAACAGAAACATTTAGCTATTACCTTATTAGATATATTAAAAATAAATGAGCCATAAAACTCCAAACTCATTTTTGTTGAAAATGTTGTTATATATTCTTAATCTTTTAAGAGATTGGAGAATAGGGCTAATTCTGTAAAACCCTTGTGCATAAATCTGTATTATCTTCTGTCAAAAATACTGAAATCATATCGATGTTTGTAAACGAGTATACATCTACTTACAAATACTGGGCACCGGAATCACATAAATAAATTTCATTATTTGTTATGGAACGATTGGTATTCTCAGTTGGATGGTAATGTATTATGGAACCATTAGGTCCACTCGCATTTATAGTTGGAAAGCTTAACCCCATAAAGTATTTATTTTTACTGAAAATATAGAAATTAGGCAAAACCGATTTTTTTTTAGAAATACTTACGATCGAAAGGCTTCAAGTTTTGTAGCTCCAGATAGTTCACTTATGTTTTCGCCATTTTGAATAGCATGTTCCAGCCAAGCGAAATATTTACAAAGTGCAACTCCATCACGAATATGACAGTTAATAAATCCATCAATTTCACTTTTATTTTTAATCGCTTTGTTGATAGCTATAGGTGTAATCTAAAACACATGAAACTCGAACTATAAGCTTTGCAAACATATTTTTCACATCTGTAATGTTCTTACTTCTTGTATTCTTAATTTTTTAGGTATCTTGGAACATAAGAAATAGCTTGAGTTAGGAGAAATCCATATTTTTCCACTTGATAATATACTTATTGAAGCCTGTAATTCGCTTCCAATACAGTCATATGGTTGAACATGAATGGCGACACCATTTTGCTTTTGATAATTTTCAAAGTTTTCTGGAAGTTTTGATTTGTCAATGAATAGTTTAATACTATTGAAATCAATAATCAAATACGCGAAAAATATGGGATTATAATCAATATCTGATCCACGCAAGTTTAAAAACCCTGAAAATATAAACATAATATAGCATTATTAAATCACATATATAGATTGTTATGTGCATACATATACACTTAAACATACCTACATACATATGTATGTATTGCCAAGCCATGAACCAACTATACAAGATCACGTAAGAACGGGGCCTTGTATTTGTAATTGTTTTCGAGAAAAACGTTTTTGAAAGCGGGCTCATCAGCTGAGCTTTTGTTGACATGCCAACCACCACTATTTTCCACTTTTTATTAACTAAAGAATATTTAATTCCACACGAAAACCTGTTTTAAAACATTTTAATGAAGAATTTCACCTAAATTGTGTGTTTAAAGCGGCTGACAACAATTTTGGTTCTCGTTCCTTGATTTATTTTTGTTCCAGCGAAACATGATGTAGAAACCGCTAAAAATCGCCTTTTTTAGTCCCTTGTTCTTGCGTGATCTGGTGTCATTCGTTCATTTTGTCAAGCTCGTAAACATATCGTAGTTATCAATGAGGTAATGAATAAATTTGTTTTTATTTTATGGCCTTATAACAATTATATTCACCTTTTTAATGAGCTTACGGAAAAGAAACAACAATTTAGAAAAAATGGTAGAAGTTATAGCTATTTCGGAAATCACCACTGGGATTCGATCCAACGACCCCAGCTGACTCAGCCAGTTGCCTACGCACCGTGCTATGTTCGCCTTGTAAATTCTTGTTGCTTTTTGAGGCATTTCATGTCACCGCGGCCACCTGTGTGCGCGACCTCTCAGGATTTGGATGAAATTTTAAGAGATTGAAGGTCTAGGTGACACGAATATCCGTGCAGCATATTTTGCCGATATGACGTAGGGTTGCCTATTTACACGGGACTTAAATTTTAAGAAAACGTCATACATACCTTTCTTTAAAGTGCTGTATCTGGGAAACCTTTTAACGAAACTTAATGATAAAAATGTATTTCTTCCGTCTTATTATGGGCTTTAATTGCACATTTTTTACAACGTATAAAAAACAAAAATAAATTAATCAAACATTTTTCTTTTTGATTTTTTTTTGATTATAGCATATTTAAAAGTTTTTATTTTGGCATAAAAACATTGTCTATAATGTCAACTTTAAGCACCCAATGGGCTACTTATGCGTTCGGACTCTAGATCGTCTAACGCTCGAGCAATATGATAAATGGACTTTGAAATTTTATTAAATTGTATATTTTTGAAAGGTGTGTAAAAAGCAAAAACAATATTAATAAATCATATTAACTTTATATTTATATTTATGTAACCTAGACCTTCAATCTCTTCAACTTTCATCCAAATCCTTAGAGGTCGCGCACAGAGGTGGCCGCGGTGACATGAAATGCCTTTTTTTCCACTTTTTCATTTGTGAAGCCAACTACAATCAAGCGCAACTATTCCAGTTAAAGGCCTGCAAATGTTGAACTATAAAACATAGCGACATGTGTCACATCATGCAAGTGCCAGTTCATATTATGTCGCTCATACATGTTTCACAGTAACATATGAAGACACTGTCGAATAATCAACACAAGCAACATATGCGACACATGCGACATAGTCAGCATTGTTAATTATTTTTATTTACGGGAAGAGATTTTGTAAATTTCTTAAGCACCTATTATAGTAAAATGCATTAAAGAATTATCTAATTAAAAACCCCTATATATTTTCATCCAAGGCAGGATCAAACAGTATTAAAAATATGCTACAGAAGCACAACAGCGAACGACAGCATAGCTAAGTAGCAACGACATGCTAAAACAGTATGTTCGAGATGGAATGACATGGCATAACACCTTGTTTGAGTTGACATGACATAGCAATGCATGCAATTTTTGAAAAAGACATTTTTACAGAAAATATTGAATTTTGCAGCTATCTAATTCCAGTGCTATTTAAACTTGATCATATTGTTGTTGGTTTTGGTGCTTTTTTTGTTAATAATTATATTTTTAGAATGTAGACCTTTTTTCAAGGTGTGCTCGTCCTTAAGTGATTTGTTTTTTGTATTTGATGGCCTTATAACAACTACATATATTCAGCAATGAGCTTGAGGATGTTTTTAATTAAAAATGGTTGTGGAAAAGCAACAATAATTTTGAAAAAATGGTAGAAGCTATTTCGGAAATCACCACATTTCCTCATCCGACTTCTTTCAGTGGGATTCGATCCCATAACCCCAGCTGACTCAGCCAGTGGCCTACGCACCGTGCTAAGTTCGCCTTTAAATTCTTGTTTTTTTTCATTTTTTCATCTGGGAAGCCAACTACAATCAAGCGCAGCTATTCCAGATCCTTTTAAACTTGATCATGTGGTTGTTGGTTTTGTTGGTTTTTTGTTAATAATTCTATTTTTAGAATGTTTAACTTTTTTTAGGTGTGCTCGTCCTTAAGTTATTTGTTTTTGTTATTTTATGGCATTATAACAATTATATTCAACAATTTTAGTGAGCTTGAGGCCGTTTTTAATGAAAAATTATTGCGGAAAAGCAACAATAATTTTAAAAATAGTTTAGAAATGATAGCTATTTCGGAATCATTACAACGCTTTTATCAACTTGCAATGTTGTGTTCCAGAAACTTTCAATGTTGTGGATCCAGAAACTTTCAATGTTGTGTGTCCGACACCAAAGCAAAGCTTTGAAAAGCTCCTATAAAAAAGCATAGTGAATAGGGCGAGGTAGATGACATCTAGATGTCGCCCTATGTACTACGTTTGCTACACCGGAAATAGACGACACGC